ACCGCAGGGGACACAAAAGCAAGACAAGGAACCGAAGACCAGAAAGCTAAATCCATGTTCAACCCAGCTGGCGACGGCGGGACAAGGGGCAGGGGCTGGCCTGGGGGCCAGTTCTCAACTCCGTGCCCGAGCAGGGCGAGGAGCGATGCCAATCTCACACCAGCCCCCGCGGGGAGGGTCGCGGAGCCCCATCCAGCCGGGGGGAGCCGTGGCAGCACCCCCTCCGCACGGACACTGCGGGCTGAGCGCCCGTTTCGGCACGTCCCCTCCCCAGCCTGCAGAGGGGTCCTGCAGCACCGGGGCGAGGGATGGAGACGCTCTACCACAAAACGGTTGTGTCCACAGGTGGAAGATGGCACAAGCCCCCGAACGCGCGCACACACACACGATCCAAGTAAAATGTAGATTGTCTGAACAATATCTGCAGGCTGTATTTCATTTTCCAGTTAATACACCTAATTGCCACCCCAATGAAAGCAATTAACCTGATCTGCACACAAACTACTTTCCTCCTTTTCTCTCTTTTATAAGAGGAAAGAGGAGCTGCCGAGACGGCCTGTCCAAACCTTCCCCAACAGCACGTCAGAAAATGCGTGGATGCTGCCCACTCCAGATAGGCGGGAAGGGGGAGGAGGCAGGAGCCTTCACTAGGAAATTACTGATACAAAAAACTTGCATCTGGACTCTGTTCTCAGCACACAGGCCAAGGTCAAAGCGTTTTTTTCTGCCCTTTCTAACCAGCAAAGAAGCTAATGCAGCTAAAATATGTTAACACCAGCCAAACTGCTGAAAGGTTGGTGAGAAAACACCAGAAAAAGAAGTAGCGTATCATCTTGGGAAAGACAAGAAGCAGCTCTCTAAGGCCTTCCCCAACCGCTGAGAACACAGGGCCAGAGGAAGCAAAGTTCAAGGGTTTTCCCACCTTGTCCTGGGAACTGAACATGTCCCAGTGCCTCTATAAAATGTCTTTTTAGGAAATCTGCAGCCCCCGCTCTGGGATTGCTCCTGATGGCAGCAATTCCCAGCGCACCCAGCAGGACGGTGGCCTGGCACACTGGGGAAGATGCTGTTGTAAGGTGGGATTTACCCCCGAGGCTCTGCTCAAACCCACTGGTTGCAACCAGCCCCTTTCAAGTCCCCCCAGGAGCACGTCAGTGTGGAGGAGAGGGCACCCCCCAGCCCGCACCCACCCGTCCTCAGACGAGTCTCCAGCACATCATGCCCCAGGCTCCAGCAAGAGCTTAACCCTGAGCTGCGCAGGCAGCGCTCCCTCACTCCTGCAGCAAAGCACGCCCTGTACGAACGCTACTGCTGTCCCAAAGCTGGTGGCTCTGCACTGACTTTCCAAGCCGTATTTAAGACATGTATTTTGCTCCCGGAGCTGCTTTGGAAGTGGCAACCACCTTGCCCGAAATCCTGAGCTCAGCAGTGCAATGGAGGCACCCAGCCAGCCCCTCCAGCAAAACCACAGGCTTATCCATATTTATTTATTTATTACAGTGTGCTCCATTCTGATTCTTGACTGCGCAGAGAAGTCACCGGGAGACCTGCAAGGAGCTGGGGGTGTAACTCACCCGGTGGGGATATCCAAGACGCCTGGAGCCAAGTGGCATCCAATTCCCACCCCAGTGGGACGGGCACTCACTGCCCGGGGAAAGGGCAGCAGCTATAAATACCTGCAGAGCTGGGCTGTATTTTTAAGATGATTTCTACTACTGCAAAACCATTTAATCTGCGGTCTGTGCCCCGTTCTTACCGCTTGTGCGGACATGTCAGCATTTGGACTTTCTTTGTTCTCATTATTTAAAAAGGCCTCCCCAGACGGGGGGCTGGGGAGCTCCAAACCACAACGGAGCGCGGGTGACCTTGCTCCTTCTGGCTTCTGCTCAGATTGCATGAAACAGGAAAAAAAACGCGGCAAGAGAGCAGCCAGAGCTGAGCCTGCCCTCCCTGCCCCTGGCCGCGCAGGCACCGGGGGAGCACAGAGGCTCCCGCCCGGGTCCCCCGAGGTGAGGTGCTGCACTCCCGTAACCCCTCTCCTGCAAACACCGTCCCGGTGCCCGGAGCTGGACGGGGTCAGACACCCCCGAGGGCAGCACTTGGGCCTGCTAAAGCAAACGGGAGCACGGACAGGGTGCAAAGTCCAGCATACAAGCACGCTTCGGCGGGATGCTCTCCCAAAACCCAGCACAAAACCTGAGACAGCCCCCAGGCACCCAGCTCCGACCACTGCCCGGGCCCACAGCCCTTACACGCTCCGAGGGCCCAAAGCCACCCGCTCGTGCCCCCCATCTACAGAAAAAGCATAATACCTGTTCTGCATGGCTGCCCGGAGACTAAATGAATTGCTGCTCGTAAGTGCTTCGCACAAAGTACTATTACTGGTAGTGTTTTTATCACTGTTAGAGGATGCCTTGAACTTTACTTAAAAATACTCACAAGAGTGGGGGTTGCAATTGTTTTTAAGGCAGAATAAAACAAAATGCACATTGCAATGACTGGGCAGGCGCCTTGCCCAGAGCAGGGAGGCATCTTGATGTGGGGCTGGGGGCTCACCTGGGGCTCTGCCCCGCGGCCGGAGCCGGACAAGGACCGAGCTGCGGCAGGAGACGGGCCAGCGGTGCAGGCAGAGCAGCGGGGGAGACAGAGACAGCAGCAGATAGAGCAAGAGGCGATATGGATGAAGAACCTCCGTCACAAGGCTTTGCCATGACAACTGGGCCAGTTCCTTTTTATTTTAATGAGCTCACTCATACCACTATTATTGCTAAGAAATAAAGCTGGTTCTGGTCCATGCAGCGTGCAGGGACTATCGGTTCCAGGGCCACCAGCCCGCCCAAGTTAAAATCCTGAAGTGACCAAACCACTTTGTTCCACCGCAGGAAAACAAACAGAGCCTGGCTCCTCCGGGGCTTTCAGCCTCGCAGGTCGGGTCAGGGCTGGACGAGGTCACTCCAACTCGAAAGCCAGGAAGGCTCATCCGTGCGGGCACAGCCAGGTCCCCACAGAGCATTCCCAAACCCACGTAATTGGCAGTTACCCTCCACAGACCCCTAAAACAGTCCAGAAGTCCCCAAGGACCCGTGGACGGACCCAAGGCCGCTGTCCCAAAGCCTCAGCGTGTCGCTGGCCGAGGCGAGGCAGCTGGGGCCCGGCCCCCCACCCTGCAGCCCCCCAGCACGGCTGAGCCGAGGTTCATCTCTCGCCTCCTTCTCCCTCCGTGGCTGCCAGCGCTGACTTCTCACAACCACCATCTCAGAACGCCGAGAGTCACTGAATGGTGGGAAATGACCATCATCTCTGTGTTTTTTTCCCTTCCCCTGCATCAATACTGTCCTGTCCCATACTAAAAATTTTCCAGTATTTTAAGAAATGTTGGCATTCCTTCCTGCAATGGCACCATTTCCAGCTTTCCCCCCATTCAGGAGCACACGTTTCACCCCACCACCACCATGTCTGCTGATCAGCTCCAGTCTTCACTGTGCTTTTTCCTTGAAACAGCCCATCTGAAATCTTGCTCTGGAAGCATCACGTGCCTTTATCTTTCTTCGCCTGGCAGACGTAATTCGAAGATGCTCCCTGGCACGGGCACAGAGAGAACCATTGTCTCCTGCCCGGAGCGTGGCCTTGGAGGGTCCTCGGTGCGGGGAGCGGTGAGGCCCAGGAATTCTGCATTCCCCACCTCGTTACACTGTTTCTGCTTTAATTCTTGCCAGGATCGTCCCACACCTTCCTCAGTCTGAAGCGAGGGGCCAGAGCCAGAGACTTTCAGGAATCACCACCGTGGGGACCAGCATCGGCCGTGATGACGCTGCCCCGGGGCCGATGCCCGACCTGCGGCCACCTGCGATGGAAACGGGGGTGGAAAGGTGCAGCTGGGCACCAGCATGGTTTTCCTTCCGATACGGCAATTTGCAAAGGTTCCTAGATGGACTGCAGAACATGCCTTCTCTCTCACTCACAGAGGGTATATTGAAATATATTGCTCTTTTGGCCTCAGAAAAAATACCAAATCACTGCTACTTTCTAACTAGCTCTCTTTGGCTGGAGTGAAGTTCTCCAAACAGGAAAATCCGTGGGTTATCTATAGACAGGCTGCAAGAAGACAAAGCACAGCGATCATCTGCGTAAGAGGAAAACACCAGTGAACACTGTAAAGAGCAGAAAAAACATAAAAGCCGTCCAAGTAGGAGAATAGCTGTCATGGGCAAATCCCTCACAGCCTCCTGCCCTGAAGTCCTCGATAATACAGGACAGAGCACACAAAATGCCTGTATAACACAAACCCACCACTGCTCTTAAAGCTTCTCATGCATTATTTCTTTGGTGAAATTTTCTGAATTCTCAGCCACTGTCTTCTATGCCAAGCGTCACATGGAGCTCATCCTGCCACTGCAACCAGCACTTAAGGGAAACCAGGGGGAGGAAAAAAAAGTAATCACTGTTGATATCAAGCATGAGACTTTGGAAGCAGCTTCCAGAGGGTGCAAGAGCTCAAAAATTCAAGACATGGGGAGAAGAGGATGGGAAAGCACAGAAGAGGATGGGGCAAAGCTGCCCGTGAGCAGTTTCATGAGTGGGTGAAAAGGCAAAGAGATGGGTTTGTGTTGTAAGAACGGATGGGCAGGTCCCTCATAAACACACCAAACGTGTATGTCCTCCACATCCCGTCCCTGAGCAGGGCGACATCTCCCCTTCCCAACGGTAAAGGGAGAGCTGGAGAGTGGGACAGTCAGCAGGAGAGGGAAGAGAGGGAGGGACAGATCGAGAGGGAGGGGAAAAGGAGGAAACCATTTTATGATACTTGATGTATGCTGTGGAAATACTAAGAAACCCCAGAACCAAAATCCGTTGAGTGGAAGGAACAAGTTGGAAATGGTTATTTTTCCTTCTTTTGTTGCCACAGCCCTAAATCCCAATGTAACGGCAAAGGACAGGGCTGTGCCAGCCCCTCGGACAGAGCCCTCACCGCTGGGGCCGCTGCCCCAGCAAGCACCAACCTGGCGGAGGACTGGGAGTACCAACGCTTGTCAATGCCCACGGGCTCAGCCAGCTGTTGGCACAAGGACCACGAGTGTTTTCTGGGCAGTTCTGGGCATCTTCAGGAGAAAAGAGCCCTTCCCTCCGCGTGTCACAGCACCGGCACCCGGGCTGCTGAGGCGGCGCAGCGACACCCCCGCGGGCTCCCCCGGGATAATCTCGTCTATCAATTTAAAAGAAAACTCGCTCGTGGGAAAGGCTATATAAATCAGCACCCTCAAAACAAAATGAAAACAGCTCAGCTGGCTAAGCATGGAAGAAACTAAAAGAGCTTTGGATCGCATGTCACAGTTCTTCAGGCAGCAGCTCTCAGGGGCAAGAAAAACGAGGCAAACTGCTGTGCCCCAGCAGAGCCGCGGGGCGGCCGGCACTGCCCCATCTCTGCCGGCTCTCCAGGAGCTCCCGCACCCGCTGCTATTCTGCAGGAGTAAGGCTTGGGCTGAACTTTAACACCCCGGCTACTCCAGGTGTCCTGCCCCGGTGCATCACTCGTTTCCCAGCCTTAACGCAAGCACTGCCAACCCGGCAGCGTGCCAGCTCCCACCCGAAGGAGCCCCGAGCTCTCTAAACCAGGCCCAGCCCTGGCGCAGCACCAGCGCTTTAGTCTGTGTTTAAAACAGCCTTCTCGTGCCCAGGAGTAGGGACGAGAATCAGCAGGTGAGCAGGAAGAATTTTTTAAAATGATTTCTCTTCTCCTTCTACCAGGAGCCATGAAGCAGCTTCAGCACACCAGTGACTGTCCCAGCCACCCGTGGCTCACCGTCCACGGACCCCCCCAGGCGCTGTGGCCCACGAGTACGTGTCCTGCAGCTGGCCGGAGGGACAGGCTGGTCTAAAGACATACCCACGTAATGCCGCCATTCACCCGAGCAGAAAGGTCACAGAGACGACGGCAGGCAGGAGGGTCACCCCCTTCCCAAGGGCTTCTGAGCCCCGCTGTGAAGAGCCGAGGGTGCCCCAGGCCCCTCCCGGGGAAGGGGACACGGGCAGACGGTGGCCACGGGCCGGGAGCCAGAGCAGCCGGGAGAACGGCCTCCTCTCATCTGTCAGTGGAATCACCCGCCCTTGATCTCCTTATCACAATCTTATCTCCTTCAATGGGTAGAAATTATTACCAGCGTTATCTGCAAGCGGTATCACAATTACTTAGCTGGCCACAAAAAAGATTATTCAGCCGTCATGGCAGGTGATGGATAAACGCGGGGCACTTGCCGGGCTGATTACACCCAGGCGGAGAAAGGAATCCGCGGGTAGGCGTGAGCAGCAAACACAGGGATAGCAGACAGGTAACAGTAGTTAAGAGCAAACACCACTTGAAAAAGCGAACAGACAGCTAGATTCTTCTGAGCCAATTACCCCTTAAATTCACTTATCACCTTTATTCCCATAGCTTCAGTAACAGCTCCTTCCTTGATTCCATTTTAGCCTAAACCACGTGGGCCTACACCCCTTCCCCGCCTCTGGGGTTTGATCTGACAAGTCAGTTTGGTGCCATGACCTTGGATTTATTCTGTCAGTGCTGTGTCTCACTCTTAAGACAGGTTATTGTCTTAAGACACCTCAAAGACTGCTGGCAGTAATTATGCAATAACCAGAGCACACAGGTAAACAGCTACAAGCCCACAGTGTAGCAAAAACCAGGATTAACTTGCTAATTATACGTGAGCAATACTGGCGCAATCAGGCACACCACATCAAAAGCTTTAAATTAAATCAAATTGTGCTAATGCCCACTTCGCTTCCCCTGAAACCTTTCGGTGCCTCTGAACCCAGACAAACCCCCTCTGCACACCCAAAGGCGTTACGGATCTGTACTGCCCCCCCCCCCCCCCCCCC